ACGTGAGAAAGAAATATCATCTTTAATCACTGATTCATCCGTGGAAACAAAAAAAAATGAAAATTATAAGAATTCAGACGAAAAAATTGGACAATTTTTAAAGTAAACGTGCATAAGAAGCGTCCGAAGAGAAAACAACATAACTGCCAGCTGAAACAAAGTAATAATTATATAGCAGCGCTGTTTACCGAGACATTGTGTTTTTCATTGCGCTACTTTCTAATTGACGGCGAAATGTCAAAGAAACAGAAAGTACATTTAAGTTATGCAAGTTTGAAGTTGAGTCAATGCACTTTTACTTCATATTAATGTCGAAATTCTTTAATCTTTAGCTTCCTTTAATCCCGTCCTTAACTTATTTCAGAAAAATATATTACTATTATATAAAATTCTTTTATATTTTTATATATATACATATATCTAGAAAGCATTTTTCGAAATAAAAATTATACTAAAATTACGTTAAATTTTGAAAAATTAAATACGAGTAAAATAATGTGTCTCGGTAAACACCACGAGGATAATTTAACGGAAAGTAACGAAGGTTGTGTTTGAAGACGTGCGCTGTTCTGGTATTATTTGTATATTTTATTTGTATAAAAAAGGTGAAAAAAAATGAAAAACAGAACACGCTCGGGGCATGGACGCGGGGCCGTTTCGTGACGAACAACCACACTTGTTGATTAATATAATATATACGCGCGTATGTAATATGTATACGTGTACATATACTATAAATATATATACATATACGATATACGTACATGTATTGTGTATATGTATATATATTTAACGAAGTTGGTGGGCTGGGATATACACGGTAGGAACGGAGCGGGATGCTGGAAGCTGTGTCAGAGAGAAATAAGCCAGAGGAGAGCGGGAGAACGAAGGAAAGAAGAACAAAGGATATGTACGATATACATGGTGATATATCTTTGGGAACACTGTCTGTTCGAACAGAATCGGACCCGCGCCGCCGAGACACTCGTCAGTCACAAAATATATGAGACGAATTGATTTCTTTCACTCTTCCCACTCCCTAAATTACTATTAGGAACCTGGTTCCGCCGTAACATTGCAGCGAAAACTCTGCGCCCAAGATCCAGCCGAATTAACTCTTCGAGCCAGAACTCGCGGTTCTGTGATTTAACATAATTTCGTAATTACTAAAGTAATGATTTGAGTCAAAAGGGTTGATGATAACATGTATCGCTGCATATTGCAAACAGAAATCAAGTTAAATCGGCTGTTACAAAAGATAAACCAAAAAAGCGTTATAATTAATACTTATTCCGAAGACTTTTTGACAATTGAGTATTTCGGTAACACAGATCTCTACGTCAAACGCGAAAACTTAACTACGTAACTTAAAGATAGAAGGGCAACGAAAACAAACCAAACGGAAGGCGCTTTTAACAAAATATATTTACGTGGCGTTATAAAATATATGTTTCGTGCACGCAGAAAGCATTTAATTTCGCTGCGCACTATTCATAGTTTCCCTAATGGCTGCTGCTTAATGGCTGATATTTCCACGGAGAACATCGTTGTCTCTAAAGAGCCTCGCCGAAAACGTAACATCATTCTCAACAATTTATCGTACCGTCAAACATGAATCAAGAGGTATACCACCGGCAATATAATTAGGGAAGTTGCGCCGCGAATAAATTTGCATGCTAAACGACGAAAAACGAGGTAAGGTCGATCTTGGCGCAGTATTTCGCTGCTCGCGTATATACTTGTAAATAATGGTATATGCATCACCCCGGCGTTTGGCGCGCCGCGTGATCTCTGTTTCTTTTACAATTGTGATCGGGCGAGTCTGTATGTGTATGTGTATGCGTATGCGTGTGTGTGTGTACATATATAATTCTACATAAATAAGACACGACATCTGCGTTGAAAACGTCGCCCAAGCGTCCGCCGATTTCTTTTCGATATCTGTTAAACATTAATTAACCTTCGTTCAAATTGCACGTCATAAAAATAAACTGAACGAACAGAAATCGGAGGAAATACAAATCAAGAATTTTTAAAACAACAAAAAATAAAGTTTAATTTCAGAGGTGAAAAATATCATAAAATTCGTCATCAAAAGTGCATTTCCATCAGTTCTTTTTGATTCGTTTCTCTTTTTGCAGGGAAGCAATTTTCGTATTACGGAATAAGGCAAGTTTTCGGTGTTAACGGACCTACGTGAGCACGCAACGTAACAATTTGCGGCTCGTAACTGGACATATATGGTGCACGTACAATGCTGCACGCGCTAAACGACGCCATTTAATATTTGCAAATTCGCGTGCTTCCCTCCCAACGTGTTCAACGCATCACGGCACGATCCTAAGTATACTTATGCACATCTGTGAAACGTATTGCACCTGCGTCGGCGTTCGCATTCGAGGGCTTTTTCTTCCTTTTTTTTTCTTTTAAAGCTAAATTTTGAAAGCGAGATCTCATGTATACGAGGGAACGTATGCGGGCACACCCGTTTGTATTTCTTTCGCGCGCATCGTGTTGTTTTCCCGTCCGCATAAATTAACGTTCTCGGAGGTTCGTCTCTCTCCCTCTTTCTCTCTCTCTCTCTCTCTCCTGCAAAAAATCGACCGATTGAAACAAATGGTCAGAAAATCGTTCTATAAAATTCAGTTTCTAATTCTAAAAGATTTAAAATTTACGATCAAAAGGAGAATTTTGATTTCTTTTCCCCCTATCCTTATTATATTAACACCACTTTATATTCCGCACGAGCGACACGAAGTAATTCTTTCGAAACTGGATGCACCAACGTCACGTAGAATTAAATTTAGTAAAATTTTTCTGACTACAATGTAAAAAAGATTTTAATTAAAATAAAAAAAAAACTGGCAGGCTTATTTTCCCGATACAAGAAGGCTTTACTTCTTTCTGTAAAATAAAGCAAAATAATCGAGTATGTAATGTGAAACAAACTAAAGAATAACGTATCTTAATTCTGATTAAAGAATTAAATTAATCTTTTTTAAAAGCAAAAGAGAATCGAAAAAATTTGGACTTTATTTTTAAACCCTGACTTGCAGGAAATATGCAGCTTTATAGAACGAGTTTCTGTCGGTTTTCTTCTAATCCATCCGCTTTTTTGCGGAGCTTCTGAAAACAAAATGAGTACGAATGATTATGTACGGAACGTCGGATGCGCCACCCTGTCGGCGGGGTACGGCCCGTTTGAGAGCACGTGCCCTGAGTCTTACGAGGGGTAAGAGAAAACAATAATTTACATATATATATATCATTAGGTAATATTATATATATATAAAGCTTACACCTAATCTATGTTGAGCATTCGGTGAACGACGAGAGTGACGCAGCCTGTGATAAGCGCGTTGCCTCTTTTTCTACACGTCTCTGAAAGCATATATCCGACTATAAAAAGGAAAAACAAAAAAAAGGAGAAAAAATAACCGAAAAGAAACAAGATCGCTTGTTCTGTCGTTTACGTATACGGATACACGATCGCGCGTTTACCGCGGAATTCGTCGCGAGCTGGATATCCTGGAATTTGTTCATGCATTCTATTCTTGTCGCAACACGGACGCGCAAGGAAAACTGGCCGAGTCTATTTTTTTTATGATAAAAAAGATTGGATAAAGTTCTCCAGGCCCAGTTCTCACGGATTACTCGTGGACCTGCGTAAACACCTTCAAAATCCATGAAAACTTGTTAAACCAGACGTAGAATCACACTAGACTCGCGGCGTTTTTATTGCGCATCCACAAAAACGACGAATAATGAACAAAAAAGATAAACGCTGGTATCGAGATGATAGACGAGGGCCGTTGTTGCAAAATAATAAATCGATCGACAGACACTGCGACGGTGATTCTCCTCCGTCTTAGCGATTCGAACGAAGCAAGAGACGACGGAGAAAGAGAGTGCGACGTTTGCAAGGCAATCGTGATATCTAACTTCGAGAAAGCTGGCTGATGTGTAATTCCGACATAGGATTAAATGAAATTAAGCGAATGTTGCATGTCGTTAGCGGTCGTTATCACAGTACATCGCCGATTCTACTTAATAAGTATGCCTTGCTCTCTCTCCGTCTCTCTCTCTCTCTCTCTCTCTGCTTCCCTCCTTTTCTCCCGTCAATCGAAATGGCACCGCGCAACCTTCCGACGTCGTCGTCTAACCATCCGAACCAGTTTCGCTCGCAGGCACGGGCAGGATGATGATTTTTCGCGGTCTGAAGCTAATAATATTTAGAAAACCGAAGCAAAAAAGAAATATATATATATATCTCGTATTTCTTTTCTTTTTTTCCAAAAAATCAAAAGATACTCCTACAATCTAATTCAATAGTTTTCCTCCGAACAGTCTTAAGTCGCATTTAATTTCCTCATATAAATTCATCCCTACTCGCAACAGCTCGCCACGAAGTCCTGCGGTCTCGCGCGTATGCGGAACTTAAAGTACGAAGTAACGTCCCTGTCATTCGGCCAGAAAACAACTCTGGACCTCCCCCTCCTCTTTGCAAAGTACATCTTGCAATATGTATATAAAATATTTATATATATATATAATACATATATATATAAAAGAGATTAAAAAAACACCAATCCGACATCGCTTCTTCATTCGCGACACTCGAATATACGTATTGTTATATCACACGGCGGATTTTGTGACTGCGAGATTAGAATATAATAAGCATAAGCACTAATAGTCGACTAATATCGATAGTAGCATATAAAAAAAGAGATTTCTTGTCGGATATGAAAACAGAGTGAGAGAAGTTCGTACAGTCGATACAGCGTAATAAAAACAAAGGTAATTAAAACTCTGTGACGGTACTAAAAGAAATGCACCATATACGCAATATCTCTCTCGTATAAAACTTAATAATTAATAATAATATAATAATTATTATATCTATATATATAATAGTAATAATTAATAATAAAATAATAATATAGTAATAATGAGATATAATGATATAATTATATCGAGTGTTCTTCGTAGTAATAATAATAATATAAAGAAAACAAATATCTATTTTTATCTACACATTGTCTACAACAGTTATTATTTTCTTTTTCGTATTTCGCATTTTTCGGTTTACGCGATTCTCAATCGCGATGAAACCCAATTCGCTTCTCGATATATAATGTTTTAACTCGTTAGAGAGAAAAAAGATCACGTCGGGAAACGTGTGTGCGCGTGTCTCTCCCTCTTCCCCTCTTTTTTTTCCTCTAAGCTTGACCTGTTATGTTAATATGTTTACGTGTATGTGTATCTTTGTATAATCAGTTATTTTCGTTATCACGGATTCCTTTAAAGTACAATCGGCCGTGCACATGAATAAGTTCGAAATGTTGTCAACATGCTTCTTTTCCCTTTTATTGCGGTGTCTCTACTTTTTCGAGAAAAACTCCCTACCTCGCGCGCTGTTCTTTCAGCATTACCGCACGGTTTGCGCGCAATGTTCCCCGCGGCGAGTTTTACCGATCGAATTGTACGAGACCGTCGTTGAGATCTCCAATTTGACATAAATTGGACCGAAGGAGAAGGGCGTACAAGAACCGGCTACTAATTACAACGTATTACAAATTATAGAAAGTTTTGAGCAAAAATTATTTTATTTTATTCATTTAATTTAAAATTTTTAATTTACGTTGTAAATTTTATCGCGAGCATTATTGCAGTGCTGCGCACTCGTTAATTAAGCTATAAGTTGTTTTCAATTTTTTCTGTCTCCTAGAGAGATAAAGTATGAAAAATAGATTAACTTTAATTAATTTACGGCCAAAATGTATACGAAATAGATACGATTAAAGACTTTTAAGAAGTAAAACATTAGTTGTCCCGGGAAATAAAAAAAAGAAGATAATGTAATTTAAAAAATGTGTTTTATGATTGTGTTATCTGTAAAATAGTTCCAGTTTTTATTCAGATCTCTACTGGTTTTTATAATAATGTAAATCACTGTAATATGTTATTCGTGAAAGACGAGGAACATATCCTGGACATTGACATTTATCCGATCAATAAAAATATTCTGTCTTTGATAACGAGCGAAATATGTAAATAAGACCAGATGTTTACAGCAAAAATAAATTATCGAGATAAATCTCCAATTGAGAAACGATTATAGCGCGTTCAGTGTCAAGTTTATAGCAATAAAAAAAAATAGAAAAAATTAAACAGCTATTTTTCTTTCAATTATATTTTTGTCGACGAGAACGAACCAAAGTTCTCAAAGTTCTAGAGAAACGTATGCTGAGCTTTCGATGTCTATGCGTAAATGACTGCTGTAATTTTTAATGAATATTGAGCTTTAACGATATTTTAAATACAGTAAACGCTAAAGTTCAACATTAATATGTAAAACAATTATTATGGCGATTAAAGAGCTCGTATAGAGCAAGAAAGAAGTAGTCCATAATCTGCAAGTGTTTCTTTAAATGCGACTTCGTATTTAAAGTAGACCTCATGAATTGTGTAGTTGCTCCATTTTGTTACTTATGATTTTCATCTCAATTTCACGTTATCGTTCACTGCGCTTGATTATACGACCTTACTGTTTACCGTATCCAAAATGCTATTACAAAAAGTTTCTGCGGAACGTAAGAAGAATATTTTTGTTGCAGACGCATGTGTACATACGAAGGCATACGGATCGATGTTTCGAGTATCACCCAAGTTAAATGAGCGTTAATGTCTAAGCAAGTTTGCCATGCTTGCGCTTTCCTTCTTTTTGCCGCAAGAACGATAAAGAGATATCCTAAAAAGGGCACGTAGGTAAGTGTTAAAATTATCTCAACGTTAATAATAATACTCATAAATATTACGAACGGCTACCGGAAGAGACCCCGCCATTCCCGGCGTTCAATATTTTCCTATTCGCCATCTTTTTCTTCATATTTTCGCGTTTTACGTAATGAACGAGAGAAAGGAAAGTAAAAATAATAAGAACAACAAAAACAACAGTGAACAACCACCACGATTATATCGTCGTCGTCATTTCATCCTCGCGATATATATAAGTAGATTTTCTTTCGTCATAATAATTTAATGAGTCGTTTTATTAACGCGACGCCTCACGACGCGATTTCCCCCCCCCTCCCAACCCTTTCCTTTTCTTTATTTTCAATATTGTATATTGGAGAGTATAATATAATTGCGGTTCCTCAATATAGTATAATATACCTTCCTAAAAATACGATCAAATCACTGCCGCGAGCAGCAATTCCGAGGCACTACGAACAGGCCACAGAGAATATGGCCGCGCAATTATCATCTTCAGATCTCTGTGTCTCTAAATGACAAAAGACTAACTGTAGAACACCTAATACGTACGTAATCGTAATTATACTAACGCATCTCGTCGTCTAGGTTTTAGACTCATTACGTAATGTACAATAATTAGAGAGATCACACACGTCTTAATATAGAAATTTTAAAAGATTATTTTCTAATACGTCGAAGCCTTCTTCCCCCTCTCCTCTTTCATTTTTGCTCTTCATTTAAGTATTGCCACGAATTGTTTTTCTTTTTCTTTTCCTTTCCTTTTTTCGCCCCTCTTTTCTTTAAAGAGTGATGATGATAATTCTTCGAGATGTGAGCGGACCCCGTGCGAGCGCGGTCCTTCAAAGTCTTTTCTTTACTTTGAGCTACGCTATCGTCTACGCTACTTAAATGCTAACTTCTACTGTGTCTCAGCCTTCTTCCACGTTCCCTCCTCTTGTTTTTCGTGTACTCGCTTACCTAGTTTTCTTTTATCAGCACCAATCTGATTTTAAAACCGATTCAAAATATCGTCATATAGTTAGAATATAATATAACCTGTATAAATATACATTCAAATATTACTATAGTATACAAGAATCGCATCCTCCCCTCCCTTCTTCCGTTTCTTCACCTATTCGTACTATCGCGGATCATCTTCGTCGTCGTTCACGACTCGATCTACCGAAAGCTATGGCTCAGCACAGTGGGAGGATGCGTCGTTCTCGTAAATTCTACCTATAATCTCTCGTATCTTTCTCCTTTCTGGCTCGTCATATCTCCCCTCCCCCGCCATCCCGTCCCAACCCCCTATGTCGTCTTTTCTCCTACCATCTCACTCACGTCATACTTTTTATTTTTTCGACTCATTCACACCCAGTCTCATTCGCACGCGCTCGCATACTTCACCTTTCTCCGTCGTTTGTTTTCCTCCTCGTTCTTCCTCCTCCCCTTCTTCTTTTGTTTGAAGTGAACGACTTTACATATTTACAGGTATTCTTCTCGTGGTCGTGTAAGCGCTCCTCTCAAGAAGCACAACATATCTTTCTCTATATATATAATATGTATATTATATATCTCGTTCTCACTCTCACTTACTCGCTCACTCACTCTTTCTTTTTCTCTTTCTCTCCCGCGAAACTTTTAAAACATAGGCAAGTTAAATATTGTATCACAATCGTTTTAGTCTGGTCGAAATCGAACATCTTCAACCCGTTTGGCGATACGTGGCATTTTGAACGGTGAGCGGTAGCGCCCCGGGCGGCGCGTGCACCTCGCATCCCGCGAGGAGAAGATAGGCGGATTCAGAGGGATTCGCGACAACTCTCTTTGTCAATCTCTTTGAATTCGCCTACGTCTCGCGGGATAAGCCCCGAACTCTCGTGCTATTCGCTTGTCCACGAAAGAAACGCGAGAAGGTACGTCGTAATCGATTAATTATAAAAAATACGTACGGAGGAATAGACGAGACTCTTCGTTGATTACTTTACCTTGGTCTGGCTAGCGAGAAACTCGACGGTGAGCGGCGGCCGCTTTTCCGAGCTTTTCTGTGTCCCCCTCACGTCACTTGTCCTTCGTGCGAGATCGACGACTGGAGATGTAGATCGCAGCGAGAATCGGTATTTCCATGTGCTAGCGAATTAACTAGACTCATCGGTGTGCGTCAACAATAACGAAGCATTGATTTGGGATTCTTCAAGAACCGATTTAATTTAACGAAAAGCGAAAAATAACGGACGGTCGCGAGGAAGTAATAAACGTTGCGTCGCGATCGCGTACCGTACATCATAAAATAAAGAAGAAAATGTATGTCACGAACTTATTATGAGTTGAAGTGTCATCGACTAATACCTGAGCAAGTATAATCGAATCGTCGTTTGCTACTCGGTAGCGACAATTCTAACTGGGATTGTCGTCTTTCCGCGACGTCATTCACCAAATGTGACAGCATATTCGACGAATGTCACAGGAGAGACCCGGTCGCATATCTTCCTGCTTCTTAAACAACGCGAAAATCCAAGACACGTGTCAAACAAGTACCCGAACGATCATCGAAATTTATATCTCTCTATTTACATCACAGCCGGTGCGCTACGATTCAGAGAGGGATAGAAAAGCGGTTATCTTTCGAAGATAATTTTATCCGACAGTCAATCAGAGACGTAGCGACCGGGTAGTGCACGTTTTCGCGATGTTTCTCGGATATTCGCGTTATGTGGTATATGCGCGACGACACCGTTCTCACCGTCGAGTTCAAGACTAGCTGGGTGTGTTCCGAGGTTCTGCTAAGCAGCGATGGAACAAGAAGAGCGAGCGAGTTGTGAAACGACGAAAATAAAGGAGACTCTAGTAAATGCACAATGATAAATGTCACGGGTAGTGTTGCTGGATCGGCTGCTGGCCGCATCGAGACGCGGCGGCGGCGACGGCGATGGCGTTCGACGTTGCGTCGGCTTCCAACCCGGCGGGACCGAAACAGCGCTGAAACCTCAGCGCGGGGATTCCTGCTTGCTAGTAGGCGGCAGGATGGACGGTTAGTCACTGCGGCGGCAGACCGGTCGGTGGCTTGAACTCGCCGGTTACGGACACGCCATTCGCCTGGGCGCCAGGGAATTGCGCGGTGGAGACCGGCGGCTGATGGTTGAACGCGGGCGCGTAGCACTGCGGAAAATAGAGCTCCGGCTTGACGACCGTCGGCGTGAGGCCGCGCGGCACCGGTACCGGACCCAAGCCCGCGGGCGTACCGGGCGGCTTCGTGTCACTGCTCGAGTTCCGGCGCACTTTAGCCGCGTGCGGGTTCATGTGGTTGTCGATGTGCTTCTTCACCTCGGGCTCGGTGGCGAAGCGCCGCCTGCAGTTGGGCATCGGACAACAGAACGGTCGGTCGCCCTGGTGAGTGCGCGTGTGCTGGTCCAGGATCGCCTTTTGACGGAAATCCTTGCCGCACTGCTGGCACTTGTAAGGCTTCTCACCGGTATGGATACGCAGATGCTGATTGAGGATCGTGCGCTGGCGGAAGTTACGTCCACAGTACACGCAGCCGTACGGCTTCTCGTTCGTGTGGATGCGCAGATGCTGCGTAAGGTGGGACTGTTGTCGGAACCGCTTGCCGCACTCCGGGCAAGGATACGGCCGCGACTCGATGTGTATGCATCCGTGTTGCAGCAGCGTGGACTTCTGCTTAAACTCTTTTTGACAGATCGGACAACGCACGTACAACGGCATGCCAGCCGAGCGGCCGTGCTGTATCACATCGGGTAGACAGCTCTTCGTGCCACCCTGCTGCTTGATGTACTGCAAGGCACCGAAGCTGCTCGAACCACCCGCGCCAAAGACCGCGTGATTGCCGCCCTTTGGGTCTTTGAAGTATGCCGGATACTGGATGGAGTTGGCGTCCGGCGCCGGACTGAACGCGCCCGACTGCGTGTCCGTGTCGCCGAATGTCGACGCCACCTCCTCTTTACCCTCTTCGGGAGGAAAGGGAACATCCTGTGGCCAGAGGGTTGGCGTCATTCCGTTCTTGAAGATGAGGTGCGGACTTACGTCTGTAACGAGAGAACGGTCCACGGTTCATCGGCGGTATTCCACGGCGGACGGGTAAGAGGAAACGTTAGTAGCCCGGATTACGGTTTAATGATACAGGACAAAATCTATCTACGTGTAAATTGTAGCGCGAGTGAAGCGCGACCTCAAAAACATTGGCTCAAGTTCAGTGAGAACACAAACACCCAGACAACACAAACATCCGAGAAAGCTTAAGTTTAATCAGGTATTCTGATTCGTTCGACGGCGTTTACATGTTTTTTGGACTTTTGTGCTGTTTGGGAAATTATTATGACCCAATTTATTGTGGTCCCCATTGAAAGTTATTAGCATTAGTAAGTGCGTAGTAAATGCGGGAAGAAATGCTAGAGAAAGTAGTTATCCGTGATAAGCCGATGTTCACTTTAACGGAGGGACACGCCAGGAACTAGAGTTATTAGAGGGCAGTCGGGTTAGATGGATGACAAGTCGGATCGCATAGAATGGGGACGGGGGCTGCTCTCACAGCTCACCAGCGCTGTCGCGTCCAGCTCAACCGTTCTTACCCGCCGGTTGGCCTTAGCTTCAACGAGGCCGATGGTACCGGTATTTGTCTCTGGTAAGTCGTCGTTAGTTCTGGAAGATTTTGAAGCAAAAAACGCGTTCCGGCAAGCTGGTGAGGGATATAGATGATATAAACCAGTGGTGAATTTACCCCCATTATTTCGAGACACATCATCTTGTTAATTTATAATTCTTTGCTATTTCTCGAGCCGCAAATCCGCCACTGGTGCAGACAGGTGAGAATCGAGATGAATCGTTAGTATGCGGGTTATTGTACCGCCGGCGGTAATGAACGTGATGATTATAATGACGATGATGACGATGATGCCGATGGTGACGGTGGCGACGGTGGTTTCGATAGTAATGAGTGAAAACCGGTGGGTGGGTCAGTGTTTGGTTGTGGTGGACGCCCTCTGGGGAGTCTGGGAGGCAGAGAGAAATGCTCGCCTTGGTGTGTGCGGACGTGCTGATTCAGGATCGCCTTCTGACGGAAGTGTTTTCCGCACTCCGGACATTGGTATGGCTTCTCACCCGAGTGGATGCGCAGATGCTGGTTGAGGATGGCACGCTGCCGGAACGTACGTTCGCAGTATACACAAGCGTACGGCTTCTCGTTAGCATGTATGCGCAGATGCTGCGTGAGATGAGATTGTTGACGGAACCGCTTGCCGCACTCTGGACACCCGTACGGCCGGCTGTCTGTGTGAATCCGCTCGTGCTGCAGCAGAGTCGACTTCTGCTTAAAGTCTTTGCCGCAGGTCAAGCACTTGAACAGACGTAGATCGCTGTTGCCGGCCTTGGACGATTTGCCGCTCTGCTGCACGATGTCAGGCAGCCCGGTTGCCATATTCGGCGCGCCCGGACTCGCGTATTGATGCGCGTCCAGACCGGGCCCGCCGTCGCCTTGACCGAGAGACGTCAGCATTACTCCAGGTTGCTTGAGATAGTGCAGCGCGGAGAAGCCGCCGGGCGTGAGCATATGTGGCGGCACGGACGGTGAGGGGTGCGGCCGGGCCTCTTTGAAATAATGCTGCGGATATTGCTGCAACTCTCCGGCGCCGGGAAAGCAGTCGCTGCGATCCACATCTGCGTGAGGAGTCAATTGTTGTTGCGGCGAGTGATCTTGCTGTTGCGTTTGTTGTTGTTGCTGAGGTTGTTGTTGAACTTGCTGTTGCTGTTGTTGTTGTTGTTGTTGTTGCTGCTGCTGCTGCTGTTGCTGGACCTGCTGCTGCGTTTGTTGTTGCTGTTGTTGCTGCTGCTGCTGCTGCTGGGACGTGGCTTGACTCGATTGTATGTCATCGTCCGGCGGAGTCAAGGATTGAGGCTCGGGAGGCGCCGAGGGATATGGTGAGGGCACGGGCGAGGCTAACGAGGGCGGGGGACCGCTTTCACCGCCCTCGACTGGAGGTCCACAGGCCTGCTGTGGGCTTCCCGACGAGGAGGAACCCTGTTGCTGCTGCTGCTGTTGTTGCTGCTGTGGGTACAGTCCACCGTCCTGGAGAGATCCCGGCCCCGGGCCCCACTGACCCTGGGGTCTCTCCATGTTATCTTTGTACAATACGTAGGGCGCGCCAGTATCTGCAAGTAAACAATGCAGAAGAGGGTTCGCAATTAGGCGGGTGCTGACAGCGCGTTATTGTGTAAAAAAAAAAAGAAATATGAAATACTCGTTTTATTTTCCATTTGCATACAATAAAACGTTTTATTTTATCGGTAACGATCATTACGTTTATCGTCTCGAGTTTCAGTTTTAGTCTCAATTTTCAATTTTTTTTAGTATAAATATTGTATGAATAGTATTCGTAAAATAAGGCTAAATTTTGCAAGCACATTCTTTGGCCAATTTTGGTTACGAATAACGTTATTCGAAATTAGGCCACGAGTCATAGATGTTTGCATCTTTAGAATCTTCGATTCTAGAATACGCGCTCTAGAATATCAGATCAGACCACGTTCCTAGTCGCGCATGAACAGACACGTCCGGTTCACGCTTCACAAGTTCAATAGCAGTTATGCAGGTCAAATCTATGAATTGCGTATCGCGTTGATAATTTGTAAGGTGCTAAAGGTACAGATGCAACACAAAACCACGTGGCTTGATTCGTTGGATTCCTGAATCCTTGAAGAATTCTGTCCTTGGACGCTATAGTCCTTGGACGCCTAAGACGGAACTTTTTATAATCATATCGCGCATTCGCTTTAATCCGTTCATTTTTTTATACTTATTAATTTTTGAAATATGTGAGTAACAAAGGCGGATGCGATTACAATTATCCGAAAATAAGAGGCAAACGCAAAGGAAGGTAATCATATCGCGCCAAGTTTTTAATTAAACTTTGCCACGCTACTTAAGACGCTTATTTAAGACATGTGTCTCACCCAATCAGTATTATCGCGCGCAATTACGTTGCGAGGAATAAGACGGCTTAAGTCGTTTTACGATTACGGAATTTATGTTACGTAATATCGCGAGGCATTCCTCCTCTTATCGGACTAATTACATCAGCCTTCGTTTTCTTTTATTTGCTACTTCAAATTTGTCACTCAGTCTGCATTTTTTGCGACTTGCTTAAATTTTTGCGTTTGCTTTGTTGGATGACTCATCTGATGCAATATTGTTCCTTTGTGAAAAGTATTCCAATAAAAGTCTTATCGCCTGGATACACAACAAGTCACGATCTACGAGATTCGCAATTTATATCAATCAAAACTGCACACAAAAATATTTCATAACTTATTTTCTTCGAAAAATTGATTAACAGTAGGACAAATGCTAATTTGCTAGAGATGGAAAAATATAAAAACGAAAAACTTAAACGAATGTGTAAAAAAAACGTGAAGTAGATCGAAACGTTGTGTGATGTGCAGTGGTTAATGTCATATGACAGATAACGATAAAACTTGGAAATACTTGTTAACAAAGTTCACCGATATATAAATTTATGTCAGAGAAAAAAATCATATCGCAATTCAACATATATGTGCTTGTGTATAACCTGTGTGCGCACCACAAGCACATGACTTTGGGGGAGGCCTAGGTCCGACTCGGACTGTTGCGCCATTGAAATGAAATAAAAAAGAAAAAAATATGTATATACGTACATATGTATACACTGATCATTTGCACGTGAATCGTATTTATAGTTAATTGTTTTTATTATGTCGTATTTACTCGTTACATAACCGTTATTTGTTAAGATAATACTATATGTGCATCGGGTATGTCGAGATTAGTTTTATTGCAATTCCAAGTTTATCTCATCATATAATTGCATTTAACTATTTCGAGAATCTCCGGTGCGATAACATTGTAATATCCCGTTATCGCGGTTAAGAGAAAAGCAACTGGTCGAAAAGTGGCGCTAATATGATATTCGCGGTTTGAAGAATATCGTTATTATCATTGATATAATTCTCGTAACGTTTCGCGAATTCCACAACTTTTTAAATTAGCGTGTACTGCACGTAGTTCAATCTTGGTTTGCAAAACACCGCTTTCTGTTTCTTTAATCAAATATGTGTTATACAATGAGAAAAACCGAAATGCTTTTCAATATATTATAGCGGGAAATAGCCCAAGCAATTGTATCATTATAGAAGCATTAATCATATATTGTCGTAAATATTTACGCAACATCTTTGACTCTTATTGGCCATCTCTTTCTTCTTTTACAATTAACGTATATTATACAATCCATCCTTGTATTAGAAAAATTATATCCATTAATCTGCTCTAAAGTCAGTTTATTTCGAGAAATTCGTCAAAAGTTATGCTAGCAAGGTGACGTTACGTCTCATTAAACTCAATCTCCGTCCGGCAACACTTAATTACATCCAGAATCCCGGAGCAATCGTCCAAATTTCCTTCGCACCCGGGAAGTCATTAGCTATATCGTATAAAAAGAAGTCTCAGAGAGAAGTTTTTGTAAGCCGCAAGTGCACTTTACGAAAACTGACAGTTAAGATTAAAACACCAAAGCCACTAAAAGTTTAATTAATAGAGTAAAATAAAGATTTTTTCGTTTGCCCTAAAATTTTATTTCTATGAGAAATTAGAAGAAATCGTGATTGAGATAAATCTTTTTAAAGAATTAAGTACTACAATAATTACAATGTCAATAATAATCAAACGCACGATAATAATAAAAAATAATTACTATTATAATAATAACTTATTCGGCCAATTATTCAAACACAGAATGTTAATATTTACAGAGACTAAAAAAAAGAAACAAAGATAAAAATTAGTTTTCTCTCCATCGCGAGAACCTTTCCTGTTGTCGCGTTATTCAAGAAGCATTCTTAACGCTAAATTGCATTAAAGAAATGTCCAGATTGTTCTTTCGATTTCCCTTGCATTCGCGTGGATAAACATTGGCAAGCGTTGATACGAACTCCAAGTTTTGCTGCAATCCGACCGAGCTTTAATGAGAGACGCGATCCACTTATAACTTTACCAACTAAGCAATCGTAAGATCTCGGAGTTGATTTTGATGCGCGTTATGTTTCACAAATCACATAAAGACAAGCGGCTACTGTTCATTTGAAAGAAATACTGTCGAGAGTCACTCTTGAAAGTCACACTTACAAATGGATAGGTATATATATCAGTGGAGAGTGTTACGGTGGAGAGTTGTTCTCTTACTTTTATTCTCTTGTTCTCTTTACTTACTACGAGTTGTTCTCGAACGAACACAAAGCTTAAGATCTCAATAGCATAAATAATTAAACGTAAATGATCGCTTACATTTATTCGGTCATAGATAAAAAAAATCAGACAAGCAGGTATGATTAAAAAATGTGTATTTGTGTATTGTGTATCAATTTTTAATTATTATAATAACAAAAAATTAACTCCACATCAAGCAATAAATTCTTTCGCTAGAGTTAAAATTTGCATTAAAATTCGATAAGAATAGCCAGCGAGTAAAAATGAGATAGTACTTGTTCGACAGTGTTGCATTAATACACAGGTTAGAACGGGGACCACGTACGTCGAGGAATCCCTGCTGAATGACGTTTTGTTCTCGTTCGGACCGGTTTATCACTCAAGTTCTTATAGAGTGAGTAAGTCCGAGCACCGCACGTTATTTCAACAACTTACGAATAATTCCTGATAGATCCCCCGCGTAAAAAATAAATCACTCAAATTGAAATTTGTTAATCCGTTCAACACGTCATTCAAAAAACGATATAACAGATAGAAATACTTCTGCTTGTAAAAATCTTCAATACGTGTTATATGTCGCGCTTTAGTCAATATTTCTCGTGATATCGATATCTCATTTCAAGTTAGAGTAAGGACACCAACAGACACTTGGATAGACTAGCAACACTTGTGTCAACAAAAATCGGAAAAAATCTTGGTAGAAATTATACGAGCTTACCAATGAAAAAAAAAAAGAGAAAATAAAGACGCATAGTTGTTAAGACGACATATAAGAAAACTAGAGAAATAGAAAAAAAATTGTATGGCACGTGCAAGATATAGGGGATAATACATATTAGGCTCCGAGATATATGACCGACGAAAGAAGCAAAAAACCGATAAGAACCAGATAATTTACCTACGACTGGTTCTTATTACCATTCCTTTTCCTTTCAGTAATATTTTGAAAAGTAGAGTCTTTGACAAAATTGACGTCGAACTCCTCTTGATCGAAAAAAATATCTAGACCGATCAATAATTGAAAATATCGGTAATGCTTGGCGAAATGAGGTACGAAAACCCGTCTTAAAAACATAAAATTCTTCATCTATTGCATGGTATGGTACTTGGTGGGATGGTATTTCGTGTTTGAGAAAAGTCGCCAATGCTGATATCATTGATTTTTCGGTAACAAGCATAGGATTGCACTCCGTCGGGCGTCTTTACGATTTGTTTTGGCTGCGAGAAACGTATAAAGCGAAGCTCGGGAGGACCGTAGCGCATCGGTAGTAGGAGGCGAGAAAGAGGAGCAAGGGAAGAGAGATGGCTCGTGGCTGCACATGCGCGCTTTTTTCGTCGGGGCCAGCATTTTTAAAGATTTTTCCTGCCGCGGCGGCTCGTAGATTTAAGTCGCCGGGTCGATCCCGTCGATTCCCGAGTGGTGGGAATCGCGCTTTATTCCAAGCAAACAATCGAAAAACTTGCACCGCGACACAGGCTTCAAAACCGGTATAATTTCGATGAGGTCAATCTCCTATACTGGAAACAAAAATGTGAAATGCGTCAGCCCTCACATCAATCGTCGCGACGCTATTATCACGAATAAACAGCATTAAAATTTAGAATGAGTTTTTGCTTCATTTAAGTATACGTCGATAAAATGTTCGGTAAACTACGTCGAGGTAGAAGAAAAGATTGAGAGTCGTACTTTTGACGAGTCTGGACGACTCAACTTTTGCGTCGCGTCGTAAATTTAAAATTAATGATAATTAGAGTTAATGATCACTGGATTTGTAATGACCAAAAGGAAATAAAACTGGCGATCAAGCCGATTATTTTTACGCGGATTGCACTGGTTTCCGGCCCGTCTTAACGGTGTCGTAAATTAGACAAAAAGAAAAAGAAAAGTAAGAAAGAAAAACTCAACCTC